GACGAGACTCAGCCGGGCCCTGTCTTGCCGTGCGTCCCCCGGCTGTGGGTGTGGGTGGGTGAGGGGTGTGGGGGTGCAGGGGTGACTGGGAGGAGTGGAGAATGGGGAGGGTGACAGCTGCGTTTCTCCCACCGCTGGTCACCGAGGCTTCCGCGCCCGCCCGCCCGTCAGAGGCCCCACGCCTTGCTGCTGACGGGAGGCTCCCTGGTGGTCTTCACCCCTTCCCTGATCAGTCACCTGCCCGGAGGGTGAAGGGAAGGAGTGGGGGGGACCCTCCACGCACGGGCTCAGGGGAGGAGGGAGGCACCGCCAGGCCCGAGCTTGTCCCCTGCGTCTGGCTGTTTGCGAGGATTTTTTTTTTTTATTGTCTATACAAGAGCTGGGGCACAGGCCAGAGGCGCGGGGGGTGAGAGGATCCACCAGAGCCAGAGCGGGGAGCAGAACAGGCAGAAGGACCGAAGGACACTGCTGAGGGGAGCAGCGGGCGCGACAGGAGGGGTCTGCCACGCCATGTGGGTAGCTCCCAGGCCGGCCAGGATCGAACCGGCGCTGCAGAGGCTGCGGACAGCTCCATAGCGCTGTGCTCAACCCGCTGCTCCACCGGGGAGGCCTCTGTTTGTGAGGTTTTTATCTTACACCCTCTGGCTGAGTGCATCTCCGCCTTGCTGTGGCCTCCTGGCCCTGCTCCTAGTGGGGCTGACCGGCGACAAAGCCCGGGGGCTGTCTCTGCTCCGGCACAGGGTGGGCCAGGGAGTCACTCCACTTCATGAACACAGCCCCTCGCGCCCCCACGCCGGGCCAGGGCAGGGAGCAGGGCAGGAGCAGGGCGGCTGAGCGGCCAGCACTGCTGTTGAGAGCCGAGGATGGCGGCACTGCCTGGCCGGGCTGTGCCCGGGGCAGAGGCCAAGCGTGAGGTCTGGGGGTGGTGCCCGCTGGGGCTGGGAGCACTGGCGGACGAGCTTCCCGGCCTGACAAGCGCGAGGGAAGAGGATCTTCCTGAACCCTCCCCCTCCCTCCCTCCGGGCTCCCGCCAACCACCCGCCAGCAGCCAGAGCTGGGTGAGCAGGTGCCTGGGAAACGTGGGCTTGGGGTGGACCCCTGTGAGCCCTGCCATGCAGGGTGGGGCACCCGGCACCCCCACCCTCTGCAGGCGGGACTTGCCGTGCGGGTTCAAGAGTGGGGCGGAGGCCCTGGCTCGGCGGGAAGAGCCCCCGAGGAAACAGCCGCGCCTGGGCCAGAGGAGGGCGGGAGGCCCAGCTGCAGCCGATGTGCTGAGCCGGTTGTGGAAACCCCTGCCTTGCGCCAGCAGGCCCCTCCCCGGCCCGCGTTCGTCGATCTGCTGTTACTCCTGCGCTTCTTTAAAAGATCAATTTCCTTCCACACCGTCAGGCCCGGGGCGGCCATCGCACACGGGATGTGCTGAGTCCACGTCTTCCTGGGCCATTAAAGAAACGTCTCCTAAGCAGTCTGACCGCGCGAAGCGGCTTGTGCTAACACCGGCCTCTTTCAGAGCGAATTGACCTCGAGCCGTGGGCTTGTGTTTCCCGATGCCGGACACGCGTCCAGGCTGGCTGTTCCCTGGACGGCTGCCCGGAGCCGCAGCCTGCCGGGTCCCTGCAGAAGCCCCGGGGGAGGGGGATTCTGGAGAGTTCTGTGTCTGAGAGCAGGGGCTGCTGACGAGAGCCCTGCTGACGAGAGCGGGCGATGCAGGGACGCCAGGGGACCCGTCCTCTGCCCCTGCCAAGCCCCGGCTCCCGGCTCGGCGACTCTCCAGCCTCACGCGTCCAGCGCACCCTGCATTTAACTTCTCTTAAACAAGCCAGACGGGGACGGGGCCTGCCACGAGGGGTGTCCTGGGACACACCGGCACCGCTGACCTGAGAAGGAAGCGCGGAGATTCTATTCCCGCCCCGGCGGGTTCAGAGTCTGCATCTGTCAAGAGCACTGAGCCGAAGGTCACTCTCCGGCCGCCGTATGATTGCCTCACAAGCTCAGAGTCTTCTGCAAAGCAGCTACCAAACCACAGGGTCTCTGCTGAGCCCCACCAACCCCAGAGCCACGCTTTCCTCTCATCGACTATTATTTCACCGGGCTCTGCGCTGCGAGTCTCCTCTCCGCAGGCCTGTGCACGTGGCAATCACGTCTTCCTCACTGGCGGCCTCGCTCCGACTGCAGACGGGGCGCGGGGCTCGCAGCGAGTCCTGAGCACTTAGCGTGTGAGACCATGGGACGCCAGTGCGGGGCCGCACCGCACACGCCAGTGGTTTGTGGCTCACTCCTGGCTTCCGAGATGGCTCTGAGGCGGGGGGAGCCCACCCCGGGAGTGTGTGCCGCCCCGGCCCCTCCTGCAGCCTCAGCTAATGCCAGATATTTGGCTCCAGCCTCACGCTTGGATCTGATGACCAGACGTCCTGCAGTGGACACCGCCTGTGGGGACAGGACAGAGCGCGGCAGGGCTGAGGCGTTGCGAAACAGGCTCTGTGGGGAAGGGGCGGGAGGGAGAGCGTTGAGAAAATGGAAGAAAGAGCTGAAGCCTGCGGGTGCTTCAGAGGTTCCCCTGAAGGAAAACACTTTCCAGAGGAAAAGGGCATCCTCAGGTGTCCAAGGAATGACAGCGCCTCACTGCTGTCTGCGCATCATGCTCGGACAGGAGTCGTGCAAGACAACCAGCCCACCTGGGGATTCTTCTCGAAGATGCGCATGCGTGCACACACATGCACCTGCGTGCAACACATGCACACACACGCACACTTGCACGCACACACAACCACCCCCACATATGCAGGCACATATGCACATGTGACACACACCCACACGCGCATACACATACCCCAGAGGCACACGTGCTTGCACACCTGCACCTCTGCACTCCTGCACACACACACACACACAGCTGAGCTCTTACACCACCTTACTGATCACCAGTACGACAAAATTTGGTTCCCAGAATGGCAGGCAGCCCCGGAGCCGTGGCTTCACTCCGGGGGTGGCAATCACTTGGGGCAAAGAGCGCCACGCGGCTGCAGTTCCTGCCAGGATTTGGACAGGCACCTCCTGTGGTGGCCACTCGCCCGGCCCCTCCACCCTGGCAGCCTTCAGCGGCCACGGGGCCCTGCCAGTCTGACCGACACACAAGGCCGCCCCGTGCTGCTCACCCTGTGGACACAGACCGTCTGCCCGGGTCACCATCTCAGAGAAAGGCCCGAGGCTGCCTGGCCAGCCTTGTCAGGGCTTTGCGGAGCAGAGGACAGACTGGCCACGCGCTGGTTCCTGGTATTTGGGAGCTGGATTAGTGTCAAAATGACTTCATTAAAAAAGATGCACAGGTTTATTATTTTCTCATTATGAAAATTCAGGCGAAAGACTAACCGCATCGCCCGAGCTGGGGGCACCTCCAGCTGTTTCCATGCACAGATCCGCCACAACGGAGGCAGCGCGGGTGGTGCCCGTGCTCCGGGCCCATCAGCCAGGCCTGCGCCCGCGGAGCGCCCACCGGCCACTGCTCCAATTGCGCAACAGGCCGTGACCACAGTTTCCGGGCGTGGACTGCACCATCACGCCTTTGCTACACATGTCCGGCAGCAGCAGCACCCCAACACTCCCAAGGCGTCTGCTTCTGGATGTGCAAAGGCGTGGACCCTCCGCCGCTGCCCGGAGACGGCCTGGCTGTGCTCCCGCCTCTGGGAGGGCCGAGGAGCCCCAGGAGGGCCCGTGGCATCCACATGCAGTGCTTGGGGATGTCCCTGGGGCACAGAAAGCAGCTTCCAGACAAAGCTGGCTGCGGGAACCCCTCTGCAGAGCTGAAGCTTCGCAAGGTTGGGGTCTGAGCCCTGGGCCCAGAAATTAACACGCGCTTGGCCAACAAAAGGAACGGCGGGAAGGATAGAACTGCCGAGGCCAGCGCTCCGGCCCCCACCTGCAACACGCGCCGCCACACCAGCCGGTGACCCAAGGAGGGGGGCAGGGAGCAAAGTCTGCTCTCCAGAGGCCGGGGGCGGGCTCGGGCAGCCCCTCAGCCCCGGTGAGCCCCGCCGCACGGAGCCCCAGCCCAGGTTCAGCAGCTGAGAGTCCGCCGGGCCACCTCCCCGGCTGCCGTGCACCGTCTCCAGTCGAAATTGAAAGGGAATTCCCAGCACCGGCTGACAACCCACAAGACTGAATGGAGCAAAAGAAAAATCTTTTCTTAAACCGACTCAAGCCTTAACCAAAAGGAAAAGGCGGTAGGAAGGGAGGGAGCAAGCATGGGGGGGCGGGGGGGAGGCGGGGAGCATTGGGGCGAGCGCAGACGCCCCCCCCATGGGCGGGACCAGAGGGCTCACCTCTGTCCTCTCGGAAACGCACAAACAGCGCAGCAGGCCCTGTCCTCTGCCTCCAGGCCGGCTCCCGAGCTCCGTAGCGGTGCTGGTGCCCGCACCACCTCACCCGGCGCCACCAGTCACACCCGTCTGCACTAGAGCAAACCAGCCAGGGGGAGCCGGCCCCGCCTGCAGCCTCCACCCCCGACCCCCCAAGGGGCACCGCGCCTCTCCGCAGTGTGACCCCACGCGAGACCCTCGGCCACTCGGCTCCGCATTCACAAGCTCCCCTGGGAGGGCTGGGCGCTCCCCTGCTCCGGGGGAACCGCCACGGCCGCCTTGCGGCTGGTGCCCGACACCGAAGCCGTGTGCCGGGAAGAGCCTCTGGGAAGAGCCTCCGGGCGGCCGCCCCTCCTTCCCAACCACTGTCACCGTCTCGGCCGGCGGTCACTCAGCCGTCTGGTCCGTGAAGGGCCCTGCTGGACACTCAGCACCCCAGGCCTGCTGGACGCACCCCCAGGCGCGGCATCAGCCCCCGGATCTAATGAGACGACCTTCCCCGCCAAACAGCCAGGCCAGAAAGGGCAGCCGGGCCTCGCCCTGGCAAGGAAACCGCTTGTGAGGCCCGCACGGCTGGCCCTGGGCAGCGCGGCTCCCGGGGCGAGACAGGTCCCTGCACGCAGCCCGCGGCCACGGGACACTCACCGCAGCGTGAAGCGGTCCTCCGAGCAGTTCCTGGACACGGACACGGGGAAGGTGAGCACGTCTCCGGGCCGCGCCGTCCTGGGCACGTAGTGGACGGCCACGTGGCGGTCCAGGCGCACCTCCCGCAGCAGAGGCCGGCCGGCGGTCTGGTAGAGGAAGACGCTCCCAATCCGCTGCAGTGGGGGCCCCGCCTCGTCCATGTCGCCGAGGCCCGGCTGGGCCCCGCCACTCCTCCGGGCGCCCCCAGCGCCGCAGCCCCCCCGCGCGTCCCCCGGCTGCAGGCTGTAGTAGAGCTCCACGGGGCTGCCCTCGGGCGGGGCCCCCGCCTTCCGCCGGCCCGCCACCACCGTCGGGGGCCCGAACCAGGCGGCCAGCAGCTCCAGCTCAGCCACGCACAGCCCCAGCGCCCCCTGCAGCCGGCAGCTGGCCCGCACCTCGCGGGTCTCCCGGAAGGCGAAGAGCCGCAGGCAGGGCAGCGCCTCCCCGTTGGCGCCGCGCTCGGCCCAGTCCCGGCCCACCAGGTGGAACAGCACCTGCACGCGGGGCCGGCTCAGGTAGACCTTGTCCCGCAGGATGTGGGCGCGCAGCCGCCAGTTGAGAGGAAAGACGTGGCTGGGCCCGAAGGGGCTGGCGGGCAGCAGCAGGTCCGGGGGCACCGCCTGCTCGGTGGAGAAGGGGCCGTAGCTGGCGCGGAGGACGGGCGCCCGCCGGGCCCTGTGCACCAGGAAGGACTCGACGCGCGACTGCAGGCTGGAGTTGCGCATGATGTCCTGGTTGGCCTCCTTCAGGAAGAAGGCCGTGTCGGCGTGCTGGACGCGGAAGCTCACAGGCAGGTAGGTGGGCAGCAGCGAGAACCTCTGGGTGCTCTCCAGGATCCCTCGGCTCTCAGTCACTGTGGGGGAACCGGAGGCGAGTTAGAACTCGAGGAACACCCCACTCGGGCGTCTGCGTCCCCTTGGGAACCGACACCCGCCTTCCTGCCGCCCCAACTTTCTGACCCACGCACTGCGGCCTCGGCACGCTCGCCACTCGGGCAGGGAGGCCAGCGCCTTCCCAGGCCCTTGGGACACTTGCGCGCATGGGAGTTCAGACGCGGGCAGCCGGGGCTCTCCGGTGACACCTCGTGCCCACGGCTGGCTCTCCTCCTGCTACCAGGAGACCCCCACGGGCAGACAGAGGCCGAGAACACGCAGCCCCAGACGGGAGCTGCCGCCACAACGCGGCCAGACAGGCGAGCACTCCGGGAGCCCAGGGCCCTCACGCTCCCCCTCCAGGGGCACAGCAGCCACTGGGCAGCGCGAGGGACAGAGATGAAGGGATGTCCCAGGCTGCACGAGGACAGACACGGGGGACAGGGGACCCTGGTGGACTCGCCTGGAGAGTCCTGCAGAGCCCAGAGGCCACGATGTGGCCCAGGCCCCGAGCCAGTCTCGGCCGATGTCCCCAGAGCCAGGCTCGGGCGCCCTCCCTCCCAAGGCTCCCCATCCGCGAGGCACCCCCTCCTCCTGGTTGCACTTCCCTCCCTGGGGAAAGATCCAAAACGTTATTTTTACAGCGTGCTCCTGTTCTGTAAGAAAAACACAGCCAGTTACATAACTCAGGAGCCAACGTAGGGTTTGAGAAGCGGCACCGCTGGCTCTGGGGGGCTGGTTTCCAGGCAAGGCCCCGCCTGGCACAGGGCCCCTCACCGGAGGTCACTGCACAGTGACCGCAGCTCCAGCCCGGCCCTGCCATCCCGCGCGGGCAGAGAGCGGGGCCTGTGCGGGCTGCCGCGTCGGCGTGCGGCTGAGCCAGCCCTGGGCCTCGGTGACCCGGGGCTCTGGGACCAGGACCTGCCAGATCCCGGTGCAGCCCCGACACTCGGGAGAGGCTCGGCCACGCCTCGACAGAGCCAGCCCGACACGGCGGCCCGAGCGCACGCAGGAGAGCTCCCCGCGCCACAGCGCGGACGGGCCAGCGGGCAGGGCCGTGACGTCTCGCCCAGTGCGGTGCCGCGGAAGCTGCCCGTGGGGCGGCCGCCCTGACCCGCCCATGTGGCGGCTTCAGGTGGTGCCGCCCGGTAAGGAGCAGCTTCAGCTTCTCCCTCGAAACTCGGACGGCACAGCCATGACGTCACTCCTTACTCATGCCGGATTATGCTGTTTCCATTTCTAAAGATCTAGTCTGTAAAATTTAAAGTTGCACAGGGGCCTCCCTGGGGGCGCAGGAGGTTGAGCACAGCCTGTGAAGCCACCGGCAGCCTCGGCAGCACGAGGTCGATCCCCGGCCCGGGAGCTGCCCACACGGCGCAGCCGACTCTCCTGACTCCCCGCGGCTCCCCTCAGCGGTGTCTGCGGTCGATCTGCCTGTTCTGCTCCCCGCTGTCTCTGGGGAATCCTCTCGCCCCCACACCTCTGTCTGGCCTTTACCCCAGCTCTTGTGTGCATAAAGAAATCTTTAAAAAATGTAAAGTCACATAAAAGGGGAGATCATAGTTACAACGAATCCCTGTAAGTCAACATCAGCATTGATCAGTATTTGGCCGACTGTCTTTCATTTTATTTTTCAGGATTTATCATTTTTTATGGAGGCAACACTTTATCATTTAGGGGGGTGGGGCCACCCCTCTCGGATGTATTTCGCCACCCACGCCCACCACGGCACCCTGTACCCCCCGCCACAGCCCTGGCCCTGCCCCAGGCTCCCCTCCCCCACCCCGGGAGCCCCAAGTCTACAGCCAGGTTTCTGGGGTTTCTGGGTCTGGTTGTGTCTGTTCCTTTACGTTCCTCTGTGAGTCCAGCCGTCCTCCTCCTGCCCTCGCTCCCCTGGCGTCCCCCGTCAGCGAGGGCGAGAGGTCACTTCCCGCGAGACCAAGGCCCATGGCCAGGGGACCGGGACCAGCAGGGCCGGTGAGGACCTGGCGGCCCGGAGCCTCGTCCACCGCGGGGGCCGTGGGCCGGCCTGCAGGGTGGAGGCTCCGCAGCGACCCCTCTCCCAGGGACGTTCCGCAGTGTCCCGGAACGTGCACTGTGACGGCGAGTCAGGGAGAGTCCGCCGGGGCGCCCTCCTGCCGGCCCGGCCCTGCCCCTGGGGCGCCCAGGGTCACGCCCGGCACTCGCCCTCCCAGGCAGAGCCGGGCACATCTGGGACGCCCCAGGAGGTCGCCATGCGGGGTTCATTTCCCAGCTCACCTCCGCCCCCGCAGCCTGTTTGCCCCGCCCCGCCCAGCCCACACGCTCATTGCCGGGAAACGCCCCAAGCTGGCCTCTCGCGCCGCTTCCTTTTCTCCTTTTTCTTTCTTTCCTTCGGTTTTTGTTTTCCACAAGCCCACGAACATCAAGCCTGCTCCACCCTGCCCGGGGGACTGAGAGGAGACTGTGCTGGAACCCGGGGGGCCGTCATAGCCAAGCTCTCCCCTCCCCGAGACGTCCCAGGAGCCCGCACCCTCGAGCTCCCGGCCGCGGCACCCAGCATGGAGGAGGCCGGGCTCCAGCCCAGGGGACCGGCCGACCTCGCAGGCACAGGCGCTGGGGCAGGCACGACCTCCTGGCGCTGCCGGGCAGCCTCGAGCAGAGGCCAAGGGCCAGGCCCCACGCTGCCTCCCCCTGGTGCAACCGCTCCCCCAGAGCGCTGCGCCCCACGCCTGGCCTCCCAGCGAGAGGCGCACTTGGACTGTCACTAGCCCCCTCTGTTCACGTGGTGAAAACAGCAAGATTTGTCCACTACGCCCAGGACTCTCAGGGGCTGCCTGGTGGCGGCCACAGCAGCAGGCCGTGGTGGTCCGTCTCCACTGGCTGAGACTCGGGGGCCACCCCAGGGCGAGGGTGAGCGCGCTCCCCGGCCACGCGCAGTGCTGGGGCGCAGTGTGGGGCGCACGGGCCGCGAAGGGCTCTTCGAGGAAGACTCTGCTCCGGGACGCCCGCCGGCTGCCCTTTGAGCCAACAAGGGGCTTTCAGAGGACGAGGAGGCCCCGAGTCCTGCCCGCAGCCCCGGACCGGAGACGGGAGGGGGGGGCTCCCGAGACGGGGGCGAGACGGGCGAGACGGGCGAGAAAGCAAGCAGCAGCACCAGCTCACTTACCTCCCGCACTCGGCACTGCGGCGTCGGGGCTCCAGGAGGGAGTCTGCCTCATCCTCAGCACAGTCCCGTCCCTGGAAGACTCGGGAAACGTGCTGTACTGTGGCCTCTTCCCCCAGGAGCCGAGGGTGGACGCACAGAGCAAGCTCCGGCTGCTCTGGTGTCGAGCCGTGTGGCCATCCCGACGGCGGGAGCCGCACCCATCTCGCTCGGCCATGTCGCAGCTGATGGCAGGTGCCCGGCGCTGCCCGGGTGTGGACAGGCTACACGGAGCAGCACGTCTCCGGCCGCTGGCGACCCGGGCGGGGCAGCTGGAGCACACGCACAGGGATGGGCCCGTGATGGGTCTGCGTGCGGCGGTCTTGCCCAGGGACAGGCCGGCCGGAGGGCCGAGGCAGCGTGGCCACCCGGGCTCAGTCCAGGGCAGACCAGTCTCATCGTGTCCGCTCATCGCATCTCGCGGCCGGCTCCAGGACAGCGCGCGCTCACCACGACCCAGGACCCAGATGGTCTTCTCAGGGATTCTGACCCGGAGCGCGGAGGCAGACTCGCTGCAGGAGGTCGTCATGGGCACTGCTGACCACCCGCCAGCCCCTGACCGCCACCCTCTGGACACCAGCAGAGGTCCTCTGCCCGCTGGTAAAATCGAGAATGTCTGCAGACCTTGCCGGTGTCCCCGCAGGAGAGCGGCCGGATACACACAGGCCCACACTGACAAGGGCTTTCAACATGGCGGGAACATTTTGTCTGAGTGTGTCCAGGGCGGTGGCTGGGACATCCGTGCTCCCCCGGGCACCGGGCTCAGCTGGCTGTGCTTCCCTGTGCTGCACCTGTCGCCGACTGTAGTGGCAGGATAGGCCAGTGCAAGTTCTCTATGATCCAAGCAGACGGGGTGAAGGAGAGAGTCCTGGAGCCCTCAGGGTTTTTCAGGATTTTATTGGGATTTTACTGTGTACACGGCAGGCAGGAGTGCTGGGGGGCCCGGAGGCTGCCAGCCTCCCGGCCCCCAGCAAGCCTTCACTCTGTCTGGGCTCTCCGGCCTTCTCTGGTGGTCTCTGCTTCTCCGCTCTCCTCTCTCGTGGTTCTGCGGGCGTCCCCAGGAAGCCGCCCTTATAAGCCCCGTCTCTCAGCCCAGGTGTAGCCACTTACGCCTGCCCACACCCCACTCCAGGTGCCGCCAGCAGGCCTGCATTCAGGACCGCAGGGATCCGTCATCCGTCCTGATGGCGGGAGGGCAGGAAAGCCTGATACCTTTTCACTTACCCGACACCGACGCAGTTAGCGAAGTTGCTTATGTGAAGAATGCACTCCACTTGTGCAAGCCGGGAGCCTGGGCGTGCAAACCCACATGCGCATGTGTGAACGCCAAGGCTACGCCCGGCCAGACAGGGCTTCAGGCCACGTGAGTGTGCAAACCTGCTGAGAAGAGACGGGAGACCAGACCTGTCACTACAGACTCTGGAGAGATTCAGCCAGGCCCGCGCCAGGCAGTGCTTCCCTTATGAGCTGCACACGGAGTTCTCAAAAGATGAGGAGCTCGGACATCTGAGCCACGCCCTTCGCAGCCACAGCCACACCCACGCGGGGCTGACGTGTGCTCGCGTGTCGGGAGACGACTGACCATCTAGGAGTCTGGAGCCCCCTCCGCGTCACTCACCGCACGCTGGGGGCCTGCCCGGGACAGAGAAAGCAGGGAAATGCGCAGCAGTCTGGGTCACACGCTCAGGGCGGCGTCAGCTTTCAAGCTGGAAACTCAGCAGCGCAGCAGCGGGCAGGTGTGCCCAGCCCCCGCACACCTGTGCAAGCAGCCGAGGCCGCGCGGGCTCAGGTGCGGGC